GGGGATGGGGGTCGGTGCCGGGGTGTCGGGCCCGGGTGGGCTTTACTGCGCAGGGGCCTGGACCCATTGGCGAAGTTCGCAGCCAGAAGGCTGCGCTATACCCGATTGCATTTTTTGCAGAAGCGGATTTTCCCGTCGGGAAATATCGACGACCTGTTTAGGGGCTTAGAACGACGTAGAAGGGGCTGCAATCTGCAGCACAAGGATGCGGTCGTTATCATAATACCGACCAGTCGCGGCGGCGGTCGCCCTTGTGCTTGGAGTTGGGGCGACCACGCCCGCATTTTTTGTTGGTGGACGCTGGAGGACGCCAATTTTCTTTTTCGGGCTATTTGGTCATTTTTTCGTTTTTCTTTTTTCGTTTTTTCCTCTTTTCTTCACTGCTGCTGTCGGCGTTCCGCGGCTGTAGACGTTTATTGCGCACGCATGTGAACGCCTGAGAGTTGGGGCGAAATCCCACTATCAAAGAGGCTTGTAGACTTATAGTAAGTGTCTGAATGTGGACGTGTTTGTGGACAGATGCGAAAAATTGCCATTGATCTACTTGTATGCACCTCTGCGTGGAAACACGTTCAGATTCAGACACTTACTAGGGCTCTCTGTTCCCAACCCAGGCCCCCCCCCCCTCCAGGCTGCGCCTCCGTGCTGTGCGCGGTACACAGTATTCTACCACTCCGTTCACGATTTCAATCACGTGTGGCCTCTAGTGACCCGACACGGCCGTCGACGGCCTGCTAGTTTCCCAGCGGGAACTGTGAACCCCCCCCCCCCCCACGTCCAATGAAATGCATCGAAAAAAAAAAGAAAAACAAAGAAAACCAAAACTTGACGTGATAACTCGTGACTTTGCGTCGAATGTTTCGTCGGAGTTTCACCGACTTATGAGGAGGTGAATAATATGTATATATTCTATTTGACGATATATATGTAAATATACATATGTCACAGCCCCTCGTTTGTTGTCCTCTTCTCCCTCTCTGCCTACGGTTTACCGGGCAGTTCTATTTGACGATATATATAGTATTTTATATATATATATATATCCATATGTTGGGTAGTCTTGGGAGCATCCTGTTTTGGAAACCTGGTCCAGCGAGTCAGCGACCCTTTGGGTAATTTGACAATTTCAAAATTAAGTGTGTGGACATTGAGATGTTTGTGACTGCACGAGACTGCATGACCTGCCTAAAAAGAAAACACGAAGCCAAAAAATATAACATTCCTGCGACTTTATGCAGAACTATTGTGAACTTGGTTGTTTCAACTTGTTTGTCAATTATCAATTCTTCGTGAACGGTGTAAGTTCGTGCAGCACACACACGCAGACAATAACATGCACGCCCATACATGCAGCACAGACTATACAAGGAGGGACCTCTGTCTGCCCGGCAACACATAAATAGTACATGATGCACACAATCTGAGTAGGCAGCGGAAAATTCCTGAAAGCACTATGCACAACTGTGGAGATAACACTGCGTGTTTAAACCGTGTTTCTCGCTCTCTGACAGTACTCTCAAGACTCCCAATAGTGCCAACAAGTGGCAACAACCAATCACAAAAAGATACCTCATCCATGATCCTGCATCTGACCTCTGCCTGCCCAGCTATAGGCTCTCATGCTACGGGCCTAGGCCAAGGGCCTCCCGTCCTAGTGGTAGCCCGGGCCGAGGTCGACAGTCTCTCTCTCTCTCTCTCTCTCTCTCTCTCTCTCTCTCTCTCTCCAAGTCCAGGAGATATCAACGCGGCGTCGTCGACAACAATATCCCATGCCAACCACGATAAGATACCTGCGAAGCTGCAAGGGTGCCAAGAGAAAACTGCAATGTTGAGCGGATACGTAGCAACATCCCTACGACCTCTGCCTGCCCGGCTATAGGCTCTCATGCTACGGGCCTAGGCCAAGGGCCTCCCGTCCTAGTGGTAGCCCGGGCCGAGGTCGACAGTCTCTCTTTCTCTCTCTCTCTCTCTCTCTCTCTCTCTCTCTCTCTCTCTCTCTCTCTCTCTCTCTCTCTCTCTCCGCGGCCGATCGATGAGCCATGTGTTTCTTGAAGAGTGGCCTCCATTCTGCGTAGCAGCCGCTGCGCCTGAGCTCGCCGATCAATGGGGTCAGGAATCATCACCGATGTTGTGCCTTGCAGTACTTGGCCGGATGGCCCAAGTCGTGTCCTCGGTCTCACTCGTCGCCCTCCTTCAATATCTCCGTCCGCCCCCCGAGGTTCACGCACGTAATCAGAGTCCCCTGCATCATCAGTGCCTGTGGTCTCTCCCGGGGCGACATCCGTGCTGTCGTCGTGGACGATAAGTACACCGCTACGTCTCTTCTGACCTGCCACTGCATGTCCTACAGTGTCTGCACCCTCCCTGCAGACGCTGTCCGCCCCCGCAGGCCTCTCTCCAACATCCGACGCAGCGCCATCAGGTGTAATCTCTCCGTCCTCGAGAGGCGCAACACCGAATCGCCCAATGTGGGATCGCATATGTGGCGACGAGCGTGACACCTTCCTTTCCGAAGCCTTCTTCCTCGCTCGAGAAAGACTCGCCTTCGCGGCCCTCGTAGCATGGACATCAAAGGTCTTCGTCGGCAAGGCGCTCCCATGTCGGTCCTCATACTCTGACATGGCGGTGTGGCGAGCACCGTCGACACTCCCGATGGTTGTGTCCCCGTATAAGGTGCGGAGGGTCTGCCTGCAATCCGTGCTCCCGGCTCGTCCAACCCCCCAGCACTGCCCTCAGTGGCATAGAATGCCACTGTCCGCAAAACAGTGGCTCTGCCGCGCTGTGCTGTCGAAGAGGACCAGACCGCAGGCTGTCATGTGGGGTCCATCATGTCTGTGGCGGGGACGCCCGTAACTTCGCCGGAAGTACCGCTAACGGGGTGATGCTCTGATCTCGACGGCGGACTTGAGGGTCTTGCTGATCTGCCGACTGCGTCATCTGCCCTGCCTACACACCCTCCCTCAGGAACGCCAAAGGAATCGGACAAACTGCGGTGTGCGATGCTGCAGTGACCGCCGCGGTGCTGTCGAGTCGCCGTCTCGGCCTTCCCAAGGTCCACCTCATGTGGCCTGCCAACACGAAAAATCGTGGGCGTGGCAGAAACAATCATATCGCCTCCAAACTCGTCAAACGCGCCTGGTGCGCGTTCCATGGCGACGGGCTGTTGCAGGTTGGGCGTTGGCACGTGGGGCAGACTCGGAGATATCAACGTCGACAAGTCCGGGAGCGAGGCGAGCGCCGAGTCCATGGCCAGTAAATCAGCTGTACCAGGAAGACTGCCGGTGGGGCAATCCAGGCCGACAAGGGCAACGGCGATATGCTCAGCGGAGGGAGTGCGTGAGACGACCACGTCCGGGAGATCGTCGCCTAGACACACATCTGCAGTCCCCTCCGTCAATGCACGTGGTGGCTGCGACACAGTATCAACTGCATCGGCTCCCTGTGTGCTTGGTTGCTGCCTCTCAACCCCCTCCATGGCTACATCGGGATGATCATCCAAAGCACTGGGAGCCGGCGACACAGTCTCTCGCTCCGCCGCTGACGGTGGTAGTCGCACATCGGAGGTTGCTACAACTAACAATGCAGGCGCTCCAGCAGAAGTGAGCTGATGCATTGAACGAGCCGAACCCTCGTCGTCCATCACCAGGAGAACATCATTGTCTCCCTTCAACTCAGGATGACGCATCGACGGTGCCAGACCCGATTCCGACTCCTGGATTGCTGCCGAGGACCCCGTCGGAGCTGTCGCGTGCATACTGAAAGTGTCACTAACGGCATGACCGGTCCCGTCAATCACCTCCATCCGCTCCTCGTCGGCATGGTCGCTCAAAGAGTCCTCTGAAACAGGAATCTGCTCAAATTAAGGGACTGCTGCTCTTGGAATGCCAGGAACCCCGCCATGACGTCTGCGCACACGGGAAGCGATAGTGTCTCGTTCCCTGGGTCCGCGCTTCAAACGCCTCAAGCCACCGCCATCCACAAGTCCTGCACCACCATCAGTCGCTCCATCTCGCACCCCATCCGAGGCTGTGCGGTGCTCGCCTCCCGCCCCGGGGACGTCCTTGGTGTCACCGTCTGCAGGTCTCGAGGCCACTGCACCGCTCCCTGCATCAGCGTCACCATCAACACGGCAATGTCCCGCTCCCTCGTCAAACCCTCTATCGTCGTCTCTCCGTGTCGAGCGAGGTCGTGGCTGATCTCCCCCATCACCACGATCATCGCCTCTGGAGCCGTCATCGCCGTCCACGTCCAAGTGACGGTCGTCGAAATCGCTGTCGCCATCCTGTGCAGGCATGCCACTGCCGAAGAAATCCTCATCAACACTCGATGAGCTCTCGTACAAAAAGTCTCCCTCGTCCCATCGCTGGCGAGGCTTGCGTATAAGCTGGGCCGCCGTCACTCCACGACTCGCGACACTCCTCCTCCCGTCAGGACCTCCACGCCCGCCTCGCCCACGACCGGCCCGACGACCACCTCCGCGACCACCTCCACGACGTCTCCTCCTCTCTGACTCTCGCAAACGACRAGCGGCTCCCATGCGGGACACGGCACGCATCCTCTCTCTAGCGTGCAACAACTCCTCATGCGTCACCGCAACACGGGCTCCTCTGTCGGCGACAAGCTGCTGGTCAGTGGGCACCTCCTCCTCCACCTGCTGCCAATAGTGCACCCAACTCCCGTATGGATGTGGCCTGTCGTTGGGAGCATCGTCCGACATACCCTGCCTGTCGAGGAGTCGAAGGTTCCAGTAGCATCGCACGAGCTTCTCGGCCCGTGCCACCTCCAATCTGTTTCGGGATTTGGAGTGGATTAAGCTCCAGCGGGACCATGCTCGCTCGCAGGGCGATGCAGTCGCCCACACACGCAGTATCCTGCCGGCAAAGAAGGCCGTGTGCCGGAACCTCTTCTCCTTCGACTCCCAAAACGTGGCTGGATGGGTGTAGCTCCTCGTCGCTCGGTCCTTGGCCACGTCGTCGAACGGCGGTTCCCTGGTGTGAAACTTGTCAACGGCAGCCAGCACCTCGTTGTGCTGATCCGAACCCTCCGGGTACCCGAACTGAACAAGAGCGACTTTAAAACCCTGATGCATCTCGTCGTCGTCTGGCATCGTGCGCTCTCGAAACTCGGGATCCAACATCATGGCAGCAATATGAGCAGGCGACTTGAACATTGTGCGGCGTCTGTCAAACACCTCGAGAACTGCGTCCTGCTCACCCCTGTCAAACGAGACACATGCTGACAAATAACGCACGATCATCTCGTCGTACTGACACAAAATTTTGCCAATCTGCCTCGTGTCGCTGTGCACCATCTGCAGCATGTCCATGATGGGATCCAACAACTTGCACAACGCCATCATATCCTCCCACCACCAAGGACAACCGACACATGCTGTGACCTCCGCGGCATCGTCTCTAATCTTCTTCGTCGCCCAAACAGTGTCCTTCCACCGATCGTCGATCACCGCCCTCATGAGATGCGATTGCAACTTAAGAAGCCGCCGCATCATAATGACATGCGTGCCGAAGCGAGTCTCCGCAGGAAGCAACAGTGCAGCCGTCGAGAAAGATTGCAAACCTCGCGAGCATGGCTATGGCGCTTAAAAAACTTTGTGACCACCCGCGCCTGAGCAATGCGGGTCGCCACCCCCTCAATGTCGCCGATGTCCTCGAGGATGAGGTTCATGACGTGCGCCACACAAGGAATCCAGAAGATGTGCTTAACACTCTCATCCTTCTGGAACACCTCCATCGCAGAAACGTTGGAACTAGCCGAGTCTGTGACGAACGCGGTGATGTCTGCGAGCTTGATGTCAAGGGACTTCAACCTTCGCAGCCACGCCTGCGCCAGAGCGGCGGCATCCTTCTTTCCTCGCATGACATCTGTCGCGACGTATGTCGCGCCCCGCGTGGTCCCAATGAGGTAGTTGCACAACGTTTGGCCCCGAATGTTGGTCCACCCATCTGTCATGATCGTGCATCCGTAGGTTGCCGAAGTAGCAAGGACGGGTTTCACACACTTTTGAACTTCCACATCAAGCTCATCCAAAAGCGAGGTACGGATCATGTGATATGTCGGGGGTTTCGGGGTGGGCAACCCTGGAACCCCAGGTGGGATGATCATTGTCAACATGCGTTTGAAACTCTCAAGCTTCACGCAGTTGAACGCCATGTCGCTCTCGGCAAGAAATCGCATGATTTGCAGGTGTCATGCGTGCTCCAGTGGGTCGTTGTAATACGATGTCACCGCCTGCTGCCTGTAAGTGCCCTTCACTCGTGCATCGACGCCGCAACCTAGCGAATCCCACACCCCGCCGGCAGTCGCAAGTGATGCAGGTGGGCCTGGCCTCGAAGCAGCAATGTTGCGCAAATTTTGCAGAGGATCCAATGTCCCAAAGAAACCGTGCTGCGAGGTCGAGGCTGTCACGGGCGCAGGAGTGGGTGACGAATCCGAAACTTGAATGGGCTCGTCGAGCGGGATGGTGCCAGTCCTCGCAGGGACCGTTGCGGCGGCCTCGCAAACAGGTGCGGAAGTGAAGTCTGGTGCCCGTCCACGTGTCTGCGAAGGAGAGGGCGGCAACCATGGATACACAACAGCCTGATGTCCCGTTGCGGGTTGTTCTGCCGCTGGGGGAGGTGCGGCTGCTCGTCGAACTCTAGCATCCTTATCCCTGTTCACAGTGAACACCGGGGCGAGGACGCTCGATGTTCCAGCGCCCTTCCCCCACCCTTGACCCTCGACGAAAGCACGAGTCCCTGGCTCGTCGAACAGCACAGGTCCCCCGACATCCGAAACTGGTGCGGTGCCTCACGCATCAGGCTGCGTCGGCACCGATGGAATGGCACGTGAGTCACGCACGCACCCACCGGGAACGGCACCATCAACGGGCGCTGCAGTCATCGCATGAAGTGGTGCAGGTGAGACTGCCGCGGGACGAGGGGGGAGCGGAGCACGTGGTGCACGAGGAGATGGCGCCATCTGGGAGGGGGCGGCGGTGGAAGGAGGCAGTGGAACAGAGTCCTCGGGAAAACGAAGCGGTGGCCATTGGAAAGAGGGATGACCTAAAGGGAGACTCTGCAAGGCTTGCACGGCAGAAGCCAAATGTGCAGGACATTTTGACATATCCTTGGACCAAATTGCGTGCCACACCGCCGGGGTTGCCACGGCGCATCTGTAGCCCTCGCCACGAAAAAAGTGTTCCTTTGCATCGCAAGCACCCCCGCATATGGAACGCCCGCATAACCTGCACACACAACGGCGACCGTTCTTCCTCCCGACCGCACTGGACCCGTCCAAATAACGACCACGAGCAACGAAATGCCAAACGGGGTCATCTCGTTTCCCATCTGCCTTTGGATCCACCTTGAAAGGGGATTCAAAGGTCTTCATGTTATGACCTTTTCTTCCACCGTCTGACCTCTTCCCTGTCGCCGAGGAGGACTCCGCAGGGCCCTTCCCGGTGTTCCGTAAGGCGGACATGTTGCGTAGGCTGAAGAAAGTGAAAAAAAGGGTAAACTGAACCGTGGAGCTGGAGCCGACGATGAAGAACTGTGCCGAATATCCGACAAACGAACCTGAAGAAGATGGACAATCACCAGAAGGTACACAAGTTTCATAACAACCACAACGACAAACAAGAGAAGGAACAAACATAAAGACCCTTTTCTCCCCGAGTATTGAAAACACCGCTACAAATAAGAAAATAACAACCACAAGTTCAACGTCTTTAAAAAAGGAAGAAGAAAATAAATAAACAAACAACCAACGGCATCCCGTCGATGCCAAACCTATATAAACCTTTCCTACTCATACCACCCCATGTATCGCCGTTTATGGCAGTTCACCGTCAGTGCCGCCACCAACAAAGGAAAAAAAAAAAAAAAAAACACCAAATCCCACGCATCCGGACGTTGCCGGCAACTTGCTGCACCCACACAAGTTACAACCATGTCCCCCTAATAACCCCCCCATGCAATGTCACTTAGGGCCCTTTTTAGGGGCCTATGGAGGTTCACCGTCTTTGAAAAAGAAAGAAGGGAAAAAAAAACAAACATCCAACGGCATCCCGTCGATGCCAAACCTATATAAAGCTTTCCCCCTAACAACCCCCCATGCATCGCCGTTTATGGCGGTTCACCGACACCAACAAAGAAAGAAAAAGAAAAAAAAAAAAAA